CTGGTCAAGACATGTCCCGGACTAAATATGCTTCGAGATTAGTCCAGGACATGTCTCGGACCAAGACTGGTCCGAGATACATCCGAGACAGTCCCGATATGTGATGCACCAGGATTGTTTACATTCAATCCCGGACCAGGTATAGATCCGGGATTGAAGTAATTGCAACAATCTATTTTTTTTGTCAACAGCAAAATCTAGTAGTTGAACCTATTAATGGGAAAATATTTCAAAAAAGTTCAACAATTATAGAGTACAAAAGTTTGTGTAAAGGTAACATACCTCAAGTGAAATTGTGGGGACAAAGAAAGATCAAACACGTACGTAGTTGATCGGATTTTGAAAACGTGATCTGTGAGTTATACATAATCTAAAATATTAACAAGTTCAAACATATGTAAAATATGAGTTTTACAGTTTGGTGAAATGGTTAGGTGGAAATCATAAATGCACATTTATTAACAATGAGGGTAAATGGGTCTTTTCCCATGAATAAAATATTTAAGGGATCATAAATAAGGGGTGGAGGGGTCACAAATTAGGTTTTTTAAAAATGGGATCATTTATCCAGTTTTAGTTATTGAAGGGGTCACAAATTCAAATTTCCCCTAATGGGACCATATCATCTTACCCTTTCAAATTAGGAACTGAACTAAGAAAATTTGAACCTATCTTTATAAGTTTAGTCCCTAAATGTTGATGTTTGTGTTGATTTATTCTATGAACTTTATAGAGTTTCAACCACGTTTTTGTACTTTTGATTTTGGTTTAAATAAGTCTATGTCATTAATATTATTACTTAGGCTTAAATCATTTATTTTTAAGAGGTCTATTTTGATCACTGATTTTCAATTTTTATTCATTTTAGTCATTGTAATTTTAAAACGTCTGTTTTGGTCATTTTACATTTGAAAAGTGGCTATTTTGATTCCGATTTGCAAAATATCAATACAAATTTTATACACATCGGAAACCCTTTAATACAAATTTATGGCTACATTTCAAGAAATTCAGTGAACGAAGTGTTGTGCTAAGATTTTGATCAAAATAAATGAGATAAAAGTAAAAATGAAGAGACTAAATGATCATTTTTTTTCAAAAGTGTAAAGACAAAATGAATATTTCAAAAGTACATAACCTTTATTGGATATAATAATGGTTAATAACTAAATAATAATAAAAATGGGACAAGAGAGCAGAATACTCAACATGTAGGGATGAGTATTTAAATTCATCACGGTTCGATAAGACATAAATACCTTAACATTGTCACATCAAACCATTGCGTATAAATCCAATCAACCTGTCATATTAACATTTAAGTAATAATATTAATATCAATAACATAATTAAAATCGAAAGGTAAAAGAAAATTAAAATTTTTAAATTTAAATAGGGCACTAAAAATCGACCTACATGTCGACATGAGTTTGACATCCACAAAGGGGGGGAAATTTCTCCCTTGTTCGTGGACATGTCAGACATATCGATAAAATGTCAACGAAATGTCACTAGATACTTTTTTTTTTCGTTTTTTTCTCTCTCGRGATTCCTCCTCCTCCTTCATGGCTTTCATCGGATTCTAGAAAGAGGACCAAACCTGCATGTCCTCGATTGACTCTCAGCCCCAAATCCGTGATTTTTCGTCAATTTCGAGAGTACCACAAGGATGGAAGTTGACAAATTGGTGGAGTTCTACCACGGCCTGGTGTACAGTGGCATAAGCTTCTTGTGTGTGTTGAGATCCGACGTTGAAGGTGGAGGAGTGGCAGAATTGATTAGACAAGTGGGGGAGAGAGGCAATGAGATTGTTAAAGATTTTCCTTCTTATTTAAATATTTTTTTTTCATGAAGATTTATTTTATTTTAAATTACCACCCCACCAAAGGTAGTTCAACCTACAAATTAATAAATTTTAAATCATTTTTTAATTGACATTTTAAACTCTCAATACGCAATSTAGAGCATTGCGGCGAAAATGCCAATGATGTCCTAGCAAATTTACGGCGACCAAATCATCAATGCTACTTGGAATGGGAAAGTGTGGAAAATTGGGATCGAAAGGGATGATAAATAGGGTAGGTCTACGGTGGGGATGATGATCAAAGAATTGATGGAAGAGGGAAAGGGAGTGGAAATCTAAAGATCCAAGGAGAAGCTTTCGAAATCGAAAAATGAGAACATTGTCAAAGGTGGGTGTTTTTTGAAAACTACAAACTTCTGGTGGAACACCTCAAAAAATTGAAACCATCTAATTGAACACCTTAAAAAATGTCATTTTTTCTACGATTATTTCATCATTTATATATATCTATATTTCACCTATCTTGTTTAATTATGTAACTAAAGACTAGATTGAATTAAAAATTATCAGTAAAACATGGTCAAACAACATTAAACTATAATTTACTAATTCAAACAATTTACATGTATGTATACATGATTTTGTTTCGATCGCGATGACATTTCCATAAGTATATTAGTTATATATTTAGATATGATGACTAAAATTTATTAATTATAGTCTAATTAAGCTATAATTAAAGTCTTATTTACTAATTCAAAAAAATTGCATCAATATCCATAATTTTCGTGATTTTTTTCGAAATATCCATCGACATCGATCTATCCATAAAATCGGTCCTCGACATTTTCATCGACGTTGACATTTCGAACTTTGAATTTAAATACTCTAAATACACTGATCAAATTTAAGAGACTAAATTTATAATTTAATTTATAATCAACAATAGAAGGTCTTGCCCCATTCAAGGGTATCTAGGAATCATACAAGTTATCACCATCTATGGCATAATGAATATTGTGTTACAAATAAACTTCAGAAGATTTTGAGTTTGTAATTCTTATACAAACTTTAGTATGGATTCTTGCACTGCATATTGTCATTTTGAGTTTTGTGTATTTGAAACATGGTTATTTGATATGCAACATGGAAATAACTCAATTTATTAAGGTATATATCATCGCACCAAAAATTTGAAAGTCAAATGATGTTATTGGATATGTTAAAAATGTAACGAAAACGAAGATGAATAATAAAGCGGAAGCAAGAGAGAAATCGTACGAAGGAAGAACTTCTATTCATTGAATTGATAATTGTTACAAGAACTTATAGTGAAATAGGAAAACCGACCACTAACTCACTAAACATACCATTACCCTTAAATTTCTCTCTAACCAACACCATAACTCCACCAAGCCACTAACCTACAAATTCTCCCAACATACACATCCACTTATCCAGTAACTTAGTTAATTACCAACTATGAAATTAACTACCCAGTATAACTCTTAAAATGTGGAAATAATAACCAATAAACTAATACAAAGTTTGCATTAATTGTTAACACTCCCCCTTAGTGCAAACATACAGTGAATGTGCACTTCTAATTTCTTCAATCTTGCTCCATAGGAGTAGAAATCGCTTTTGTCTCTCTCAAACGAAAACAATTCATGGTTGCATTTAGTTGCTTCTCCCTTTTCAGTTTCTTGACATGATTGAGGAGTAGAACATCATTTTCTTCCTCAAGGCACAAAAAGTCAATTTGACATGTAACAAGTTCCAAACAAATCATTTCATAACAAAAAATATTCATCCTTTCTGATGATTCTTCAATAAATACATCTTCAGTAGTATGATGAAAACAACCAGAACCATCAGACCAATAGTGCAACAATTAATGAGTTGATCAATAACTTCAATTGATAAACAATGTTCCTAATTGAGTTGTTCAGGCTTGTTAATTTCCTGTACAACATCTGCTTCTGTTTCTTTAAGTTTCACTCTACAATTTTGTTTAATATGGCCTGGTCTCCCACATCGACTACATACCATCTTCACCCGACAATCACGTTTGATATGTCCCGACTTTC